TAGAAAAATTCCGATGGATTATTCATCGAAATGGAATATTTTTGTTGCACGTTGTCCATTACAAATATTATTTTTCTGCACATTGTCCCTTTCAAATATTATTTTTGTTGCATGATACCCACCGACAATTGACTTATGGAAAAAGTGCAACCAAAATAATAATCCAAAGTGGGAGTATCTCTTTTTTGAACTTTTAGGAGGGAAGATTCGAAAATGAAAAATTCATAGGGAATGAAGTGCATTTTATCGTTTAATCATCTATGACTTTTTCTAATAATCAATGAATAATTTTTAGAGTAAATTTCACTTTCTCTCTTTGTATTTTGGCTCGTTATCACTTTAGCCCATACTACTTTCGATTGCATCGATTTACCACCCTGCACTTGAAAGTTTGTATCAATGTGATCCTTGCTGTTAGTTGTTAGAGATTTGTCTTTGACACCGCTCGATCTAAAGTCTGAAATTACAAAAACGCGACCCCTCCTAGTTTAAATAATTATTAAAAAACAAAAATTAAATAAAAGAAAACATTTTTTTTAATATAACGAGAAAGCATAGTCTACGACGCAGCCATAATTTTTATTTATTTATTTATTTTTTATTTTTTCAATAATTATTTAAAGTGAGAGGGGTGGTTCTTTTGTAATTTTCAAACTTAGATCTAACGTTGCTAAAATCAAAGGTCTGAAAACTAAAGGCGAGGGTCACATTGAGACAATTTTTCAAGCACATGGGGTAAATCGATGCAATCGAGAGTTGTAGGGGTAAAGTGATATCGAACTAAAGTAAAGATGGAAAGTGGAATTTTCCCAAATTTATAATAAAAGAAAAAGGAAAGCTATATACATAAAGATATAGGGTTTTTTGCAAAATCTACCCCTGTGTAATCTCTAATTGCTAAAAACCCCATCGTGTTAAAATAATTAGCAAAGACCCCCCTATGATAATAAGTCAAAGCCAAAAAAAACCTTAACAACTCACCATATAATGCACGCGCGAATTGTGCGTCTAGGAGTGTGTTTTTTTACTTGAAAAATCGAAAATACCCTCTGATTTTTTAGAAAAAAAAGGAAAATCCTATTTGATTTAAATATAAATAACACAAAACTTTGGATCAAATTGCAATTTTTAAAATTTCTTAACTAAAGAAAAATAACACGAAAAAAAAAAAAAGAAGAAGAGGAGAGAGAAAATTACTTTCTTCCCCAAAATTATTTTTTCCCCCATAAAAATCACCACGGCCACCAGCAAACCCACTACCACCACCGCCAATCACCTCGTCAAGCATCCACCTCCAAACAGAGAAAAAACATGTCTCCCACAAAATTCTTCTTCTTCCCCATTGAAATTACCACCACGACCAAACTCACAACACCACCTCCGGCAATCACCTTTTCACGCCGCCGCCGCCGCTACCATTTCCTTCCACCACCCGTCTCCTCCCAGACACCCTGACCCTCCACCGCCAAATGCTCGAAATCCCCGCCCACCCATCCATCTCGACGGTGTTGTACAGAGAACATTGAAGAATCGGCATTATTTTTACAGAGAGTTGGAGAAGAGGGGTCCCGATGAAGAAGAAGACCTTGGGGTGGGTTTTGTTGCAATTGCTTTTTGCATTTTTTTATGTTTTCTGTTTTTAATATTTATTTTGTAAGGGTATTTCAGTCATTTCATATAAGTCAACATTCAATTTCGAAATAAGGGTTGGTGTGCTTCGAAAAACACAATATAGGGGGTTTCTTGCTAATATTTTTAATATGAGGTGTTTTTCACCAATTAGAAATAACAAGGGGGGTCTGTGCTATTAGCTCTAAAGATATATATACGCCTGGTTTTAATAACAACCTGATGTAGACTAGGAAAACAACAATGTGTTCTACTTCGTCTAAACAATACGAATCCTGATCGAAAAGGGTTAAACTAATATGCAAACTCAATATTTTGTACTCTATATATAATACGAATCATGCTTTTTATTCAGTTCAAAAAAAAAAATCACTAGGGCTTTTATAAATTTGAAAAATAATTCAAGAAAGCAATTCAAGATTTTCCGCCATGGAAAACACAGACCACACCTTGTTGCCCGAGCCACGCAGTTGCATTTACTGGTCAACGCTCGATTTCTCGGAGACCAGCTTCAATGGAAACAAGCAAGAATTCATATCCATTGTGAACAAGGCTCTAAAGCAGTACAGCGATCGAAGACTGCTCGTCGACGAGTTCCGCCTCCGCATATCGCTAGGCGACTCGTATCGTGAATCGGTCTCGCTTATCGAGAAGTGGGTCCCGCTGATCACGGCTGTGGGCGTGAAGGTTTTTCGTCTTTCGATTCTCTCGCAGAATATTCCTGGTTTGATTCATCTGCCGTCCGTAGTCTTCGAGGCCGAATCGCTCCATGATTTGTACGTCGAAAGATTGGTGTTGGACCAAAAGGCCGTTGAGAAGATGGTACACTTCAAGCAACTACGATCGCTTCGTCTCCATCGAGTCTGCGTTGAGGAGGGGGTTTTTCGTAAGATAATCGCGAGCTGTCCTTTGGTTGAAGTTATGCATTTACATGGGTGTACATATTTAAGAAATATCAAGTTAAATAATCTTCATAATCTCACGGAATTTTTCTTTTCGGCGCGTAACGCTGCGGAGGAAATCTGCGGCATCGAAATCGATCCGCCGTCTCTTGAAACCATCAACCTTAGCTACGGAAATATTTGGTTCCACGAGGGAGCGGAGTTTCGTAGTCTCCAACATTTAAATATCGAAGGGGTGACTTCGTCGTTGAACCGCTTGCTGTCGTGTAAATTCCCCAGTCTCAAAACCTTGGGTATTATCGGTTGCGAAGGACTCAAATATTCGTCCCGGGTATTTATCGATGCTCCGAACATGGTCTATTTTAAATACGAAGGAGACTTTTTCCCGTCCATCTCTTTTGCGACGATTTTTGGCGAGTGGGATTCGGCTATACACCTAAAATACCATTGTTCGATTGATGCTTCTTCGTGGTTCTTACAGCTTAGAAACATGCTCGATTCGTTAAGCCAATCCAGGATTTCTTTGAGTATCAATCAATTTCCTATGAATGACGAGATCGTAATTCAAGAAAACATTAATCTCGCACTTGGCAACGGTTGTAATAACAAACCGGTTACGGTGGAGAGCTTGAGTTTGCAGTGTGGTTTATCTTCCTTCTCGTCTCTCTTAAACGGTGCGTTTAGTATTTGTCGTCCAAGAAACATCGGTGACTACGGCTACAGATGGGAGATAAAGCGAATCGAGTGCCTGTGGAAGATTCTTATGATGGGAGAATATTGCGGAGAGGAAGATCGGTTCTCGCAGTTGTGGTTTCGAGATTTGGAGGATGTGGGAATGGAAGTTTACGAGAATTATCGAAAAGAATGGCGTTCGATAACTCTGTCGGAGCTACTACGCTATCCACAAAGGGATTATGTTCTTACTCGCTTCGCGTTGAAATGGAGATAAACTTTGCGAGCCTTTGAGTCGATCGAAGCTATAATTGAGGAAAATTGCGTCGGATAACGTTTTTTCAGAATCGCCAAAATATCAAGAAGGGAAAAGTATTCTTACTCGCTTCGCGTTGAAATGGGGATAAACTTTGTGAGCCTTTGAGTCGATTGAAGCTATAATCGAGGAAAATGGCGTCGGATAACGTTTTTCAGAATCGCCAAAATATCAAGAAGGGAAAAGTATTCTTACTCGCTTTGCATTGAAATGGAGAAAAACTTTGCGGATTTTCGAGTACTCGTAAATTAGATTCATAGAGTAAAAAGTATATATGCAGAAACCATATATTAGTCTGCTTATAACTCTTACATAATTTTATCTGCTTATAATTACTTTGTTCTTAAGCTCTCTTTCGGTTTTTCTTACCGCTGGTTCGTTTTCTTCGTTTATTTGTTTATAATATTATATCATGGAACCGCAAAAAGAGGAAAGATAACCAAACGCGCTAAATTTTCCGGTTATCCGAACATTTGATGCAGTATATACATCTTCCTAACGATGCACTAATTGACCAACACTTTGTAAATTGCAATTCGAATAGTACAACATCTCTTCGTAACTTATAGTTTTATAATTGCATATATGGATTACCTTAACTTTGATCTAAGCTTTGGTTTGATTCGATATTACAGATTGTTTTTTCCTTTCAAATTGAACAAGATAAACTTTGTGTATCGAGTTTCATAGTTACTTGTTTAAAAAACGTAGCGGCTAAAGAAAATTGCGCAGTAGCTTTCATCAGCGGAGCCAGGATTTTAAGTCCGTGTAGGCCGAATGCAGTAACAATTGTAATAGGGGCTTTAGTGCTAACACACACGATTTTTTTTAGACTTCACCCCCTATACATTTCGAACTTCAGGACCTTTTCATTTGACCTTACTCTTATATCATGTTGAATGACCATCTCAGCCAAAAACTTAAGTTAGTGAAATGTATCATTTAATATAGGGTAACTTACAACCACCCCTAAGGTATGGTTAATTTACGAAAAAACCACTCTTGTTTGGATAATTACATCTACCCCTCAACTATGATTTTTTTCTTACACTTCCACCCTTATGGTGTCAAATTCAACATAATCATCTATATTTCGTGAATGTGCTCTAGTTTGTACTCGTTTTGTGTAAAAATACAGTTTCTGATGCACCACAGTCTGATATATACAAGCTAAAAAACACATTATGATCATCTTGCTTTAAAATGTGGAGTTCGAATGGGATAAAATGGGTACAAAATTGATAATATTCCATATAATCTCGAAGATTCCACTAAATTTGAAACTGCAAGGATGAACATGTAAGAAGTTTTATAGTTGAGGGATGGTTGTAATTACCCAAACAAGAGAGGGATTTTCGTAATTTGACCATACCTCAGGGGGTGACTGTAATTTACCCTTGAATATATACATCTCCAATAGTTCAGGGGTTAAGTATAGAAAATTAGAAATGTACAGGGGACGATGTGCAATTTGCCATATATATAATTTTGTTTTAAAATCATGCACTCCCTCGTCCAAGCCTATTTCCGTACCTAATTTGGTTCGGGCCGAACCACCAATTCCCCCAATCCTTGTAAATTGAAATTCGTAAATCGCAATTGATATTTCCAAGGGCTTTTGGTTGCGCCATCAAGAAAGCCGCTCCGCCTAAAAGCTTCACTCACAAAAATGGAAGACGCTGCACAGCTCAAACCACAAAACCAGCGGCAACTTTCATCTCACAGCCAGCGCCGCGGCGGCGGCGGCGTCGGCCTCCCACGCGCCGATTTTTTCCCGGAAGGGCTGTTGGTTGAAGTCCGGACTAAAGAGGAAGGCTTCACAAGGGTCTATTTCACCGCCACCGTTCTGCCGCCGAAGAAAGGCGGCAGCAAACAGAAATCGGACAAAATATTCGTGGAGTACCACAATCTGTTGGCCCGGGAAGACGGATCGGAGCGGCTGAAGGAATACGTCGACGTGTCGTTCGTCAGGCCGGTTCCGCCTTTTCAGGAGATTGTCGAGGGTTTCGAACCAAACGACGCCGTCGACGCGTTTTTCAAGGATGGGTGGTGGATGGGCGCTGTGACCCGAGTCGTGAAAAAGGGCGAGAGCTTCGTAGTTACTTTTGAAGACCCGCCCGACGAGCTGGAGCTCCGATTCGAACAACTTCGGGTCCACTGGGATTGGGGTAACGGGTTATGGATCCGACCCGGAAATCAGGTATTAACAAAAGAAAAAATTAAATTTTATATTTTGAATTTTGTTATTTCAATTTGTCATTTTGAATTTTTTTTGAAAATGTGATTTTGGGGGTTTTGGCTTTTGTGCATGGTTGTTCTCTACGGTGGAAATGTTAGATCTGTGGAAGTTATTAGTCTTAATCCGTGTTTATTTTGTTTTGCCTTAGATTAGGTTGGATTAATCCCCTACCGGTTTCTTCTAAAAAAATCCCCTACCGGTTAACTAATTAACTAATTAATTAATAATATGTTTGGTTCTTTAGATTAAGGCCTCGTTTGCTTAGTGCTATCAGCTCTATTAACTAAATAGTAGGGGTTAGTAAGATGTTTGTTTGATGAGATTCGTATTTAGTTAAGCCCGCTATTATACTTAAAGCCCTCAATTAAATTAGTAGCACCCGTCCCCTGCGATTAATTTTGTGGGGTGAGTAAAAGAGGAAAAGACAATTTTATCCTTAAAAGACTTTTTAGACAATTCACATTCAACACCAGAATTTAACAAATTTAATACAAGATTTAATATAACGAATCAAACATCTTACTGTTAGTCAGTGGGATATTAATCCAATCTCAGCTAATCCAATGTAATCCGATATAGGTAGGCAAACAAGAAAGTCTTTTATTTAACAAAAAATAAGTTATTGTTTTAAGGATAAAATTGTAATTTTTCGTTTTAGTCACCCCTACAAAATTAATCGCAGTGGAAGAGGTGTTACTAATTTCATGATGTAGTAGCACTTAATTGCGGGCTTTAACTTTAGTAGCGAGCTTGAGTAATATTGAATCCCAACCAAACATCTTACTAACTCCTACTATTTAGTCAGTCCACTGGTTGTTTGTGAATTAGTTAGTCATATTCTGTTTTTCTTTTGACTCCTTTGTTCTTTCGATTGTGATAAAGGTTATAACAGGAAGTATGTTCGACGTGGGAAACAAGGTAGAAGTGTCGTTCGACAAAGCAGAGTATCAAGATGTTTGGTTCCCCGCGACGATTCGCAAAGACTTTGGAAATGGGCATTACTCGGTCGAGTGCATTATAAATAGTGATGAAAAGGCGCAGCTTTGTAAAGTAAAATTCGACCACATAAGACCTCGCCCTCCGCTTCTCAAGGACATAAAGTTTCTCTTACTCGAAAAAGTCGACGCGCATTTCGGCCACGGCTGGTGGTGCGGCATCACCACACGAGTGCTCGTGGAGAACAGTAGATATATGATTTATTTCAGGAAGAAGAAAATATTGAAGGAATTCAATAGCGTTGAACTAAGACCACACGTCGAATGGAAGGATGGCAAATGGTTCACTGCTTCCAAGGTATTTTTACCGGAATATAAAAAGAAAATTATTTCGTTGGTTTTATATTTGCCTTTAGGACAAAAAAAATATAATGATTTTTTTGTGATTCTAATTTCAGGAAGTTATGGCCCGCTCTTCATCGTCAGATGAACAAATGCATGGACCGAGAGCTAGTCAACAAGATTCACAGAATAATAAATCAGTTAAAAAAACGTTACGTGATTCTGTAAGCCCTATTTCTGTTGATATTTCTGCAGCACTAAATGCGGTCGGGGATCAACTCCCCGATAATCCTTCTTGGGGCAATAGAATTGTGAGTCGTACGTTCTGTTAGATATTATTTGCCTATCTACAGTGCAGCCGTTTTCTTAATTGATATGAAAAAAAAATATGATTTATTTTCTTGCCTTCTTCGTTTCCCGTGAATCGAATCATGCAGAGGAGGAAGCAAAGGAATGCAGGTGCAACGCCAAATAATGTCGATGAGAAGAATAAGATTAACTCCGCATCCAGTAATACTATGAACAAGTGCAGTATGCTGAAACCTGACATTCCGAATAAAGATGTCGGTAAAGGTATATTTTAATAATCATATTCGCTCGAAATTTGCCTGGTGTATATATATATATTTACACAATTTTTGGTCAATTAGCAAAGCTGGGTGTTAATTTGCAGTGACGAAGCCAATTGTTGAAAATGATAAAAACGAAGAAACTAAGCATGCTGTCGTCATAGGTTTGCCATGTTCGGAAACTGGGAGCACTGGAAATGAAAAATCGACGGTGAAGAAGCAGAAACCGAATGGTTCCCCGATTCAGGAAATTAAGGTAGGTCAAAGGTGACAGTGTACTGATATATCTTGTTTTCACTTTTCACCTCGAACCCTCTTCTATTATTAACAGTGCTATGAGATTTTCGTGCCAATAAACGATACCTAACTGCCATTAAAGAATAAAAAAAATGCATATATATTTTTACTTATTTTAGCCTTCCACCAATATGTCATAGTTTCACTTTTGTGCTATTTGTAGGATAACGAGCCATTAGAAAATGGAGATTCCAGTGACAAAAAGAAGAGGGGTAGGCCACGAAGGGGCCTGATTGCAAATCTTGAAATCGAGAAGGGGGGTACGACGAGTCTTCCATTGAAGAGAGGAAGAAGAGGGTTAACAGGTAAAAAGACGGAAAAAAACGAACTCTTGTATTTTGGGATTTTTTTTTTCTTATTGCGTGCGTATAATGATAGTGTCGTTTCTGGCCTTGTATAGATTCCCCGAGTGCATTAGGCGGCGGGGAAGCGACCGAAGTTAACCCCAACACCATGGAAGTAGAGAAAGTTGTCCGCAAATCACTCAACGATGGTTTTGACGATAAACCACTTTCTAAGTGGATTAAGGAGTTACAACCTCCATCTGCAGTTGAATATTCCGGTAAAGCTTTTTACGTTACACTACTACTGGTGGTTTCCCGTATTTTTCAGTCTTCTTGATTATCCTCGATTTTTCTTCAGAACTCGTTCCCGTGAGCAATGTCGAAGAAAATGGCAAGAAGCAAAGCGATGCTATTGTGATAGAAGATGACGTTGAGATGATTCCAGAGAGTGCTTTAGTAGCCGCAGAATCACAAGTCTTGCCTTTCGTGAAAAACACGGTTCTTTGGACAACAATCGAGTCCATGGAGGCATTTCAAAAGGCACCGCAGAGGCCGCACTTCAAGCCGTTGGAACAAGTTAAGGAAAGTTCGCGCGAGGGTTTGGCAATAGGGTATATGGTGACTTTTTGCGGCGTGGTGGAACGAGCTCTCGGGTTGCGGTTCGATTCCCCGAAAAGCGCGACGGACGACATATTGGAAACGATCGTGGACTTGGAAATGCATGGGTTTGACGTTAAGGTTGTACGGGATCGTGTGAATTGGCTGCTCTCGGTGAAGGAGAATGAAGAAAAGATCGAAGTGGAGTCGAAGAAACTTAACGATGAAATAGCAGAGCACGATCGCGAGAAGAGTAAGATTGAGGAAGAGATGAACGAGATCAAAGAACAAATATCGAAGCTGCAGGATAAGCTTTCACTTGCTATATCGGCCACGGAAAAAGAGGACGGTGAAATTGCCCTGTTGCGCCTTAGGATTAAGGAAAATGAAGAAAGCATTAGCAAAGCGAGGCGGGAGTTTGAAGATGCAGTTTCTTCCAAATTGTGAAAAGACTAAAATACCCCCGTGGTGTTTATTTTGTATATTGTAAGTTCCGATGTAAGAGAACTAACCCCACTTCGTTCGTGTTGTTGTCTATCCGTTTGTAGGATTTCCGTGTTTAACCTTCTGCTTTAAGACGTTGTCGTGTAAGGAACAAGAACACGAATTTGTGATGGTTTTTAACTTTGTAGGTTTTATTGAGAATCAGGCTTTTGAGTTGGGAAATTTTCATTGCATGACTGTTTGACTCTGTGTGCAAACATTATAGGGCAAACTGCACTTTGCCCCCCTACAAATTTTTTAAATTTGCACTTTCCCCCCTTTAAAACTGTGCCCCACTAGCACTTGCCCCAAAAATTTGAATTCCGGTGCATTTTCAAGTGGATATCAAATGTCTCCATACACATAAGGGTATATGCGTCAAACCCTCTTTTTACCACCCATTTGAAAATTTTGAAGGATGCAAAATGCATTTTTTGCTAAAAGCTTTTATTTCTTTGTCTAATTTTTTTTATTCACTTACATTTTATATTTTTTAATACGATATAGGGTAAATTACAAACACCCCCCAGAGGTATGGTCAAATTACAAAAAACCCCCTCTTGTTTGGATAATTACATCTACCCCCCTCAACTATGATTTTTTCTTACACCTCCACCCTTATTGTGCCAAATTCAATACAATCATCTAGATTCCGTGGAATGTGCTCTAGATTGTATTCGTTTTGTGTAAAAATACAGTTTCTGATGCACCACAAACTGATATACACAAGCTAAAAATCACATGTTATGATCATCTTACTTCATAATGTAGAGTTTGAATAGTATAAAACGGGTACAAAAGTGATAATATTTCATATAATCTCGAAGATTCCACTAAATTTGAAGAGCTGAGGGGGTGGTTGTAATTATCCAAACAAGAGGGGTGTTTTTTTAATTTGACCATACCTCAGGGGGTATTTGTAATTTACCCTACAATATATAATCAACTTTGCATAATGCCAAAAATATTATCGTATTTGTTTTCATGTTACAAATATTTTCATTATCGTTTAATAAAGTTTTAAGAGTAAAAAATAGTTTGTCCCCCAAACAAAAAAAATAGCACGGGTGTTGGTGGTCGATTAATCGTTCCGAGGCGGTCGATTAATCGTTCCGAGGCGGATGCGGTCCACAACCTTTACGATTTTAGTGTAAATGTTTGAAAAATCGGTTTTTTGTCTGTGATGCGGTTTTAGGCGGTATGATGCGTCCGAGGCGGTCAAACCTTTAAGGCGGGTCAAACTCAGTGGCAAAAATTGGTCGATTTTTTTAATAATTCATAATAAAAGTAGGGATTTTAATAAAAAAATGAGTTTATGCTTTATTTTGTTTATGTTAATTGTTATTGTTAAAGAATTAACGATGTATATCAGGAATGTTCAAGAATAAATGTAAATTAAAAAAAATGCTTTTTTTATTTATATTTTATAAGGATATTTATGTTTATGATCTTATAATTATTAAACTTTTATTATTTTATTAGGATATATACATGATGATGGAGATATAACTATGTTTAAATATAATTTTATATATCTTTGAAGTATTTATAAATAATATCTAGAAATATATTATATTAAATTTTAAAAACCGATTTATTTTTGATTTATCACCGATTAATCACCGCCGCACCGATTAATGGAGAGTCGGTGCCTGACCAACTCCGACCAGATTACCGCTTTTTACAACCTAGGGTGTACCTAAACTCAATTTTTCGTTGCACGGTACCTTATAATTGCCATTTTCCGGCAATTTTGTCCGGAATCTTACACACGCACGATTCACGTGAGTTTTGCAGGGGCAAAGACGTCTCTCCTCACTCCCCATTTTATCGTCCCCTATTTTTTTAGCACAAAACCTCTAATCATGTACTAATTGCTAAAGAAATTAAATCATAGGGGTTTTTTTGCCAATAAAATAAAATTGGAGAGGCTTTTAGCAATTCAGCATAACACCGGGTACTAATTGCAATAATCTCTATTTTTTTTTTTTCTTATAAAAGGTTTTCTAGGGTTTACTGAGTTGAAAAAATTCATTCTGCAGGTTTCTAGGGTTTACTGAGTTCAGAAAAAAAAAAAAAAAAAAAGAATTCTGCCATGGAATACCCAGAAATCGGAGATGGTGACATAATATCCAAATTACCAGAACATATACTTCACCGCATACTCTATTTCCTCCCCAAAAGAGACGCCGCCAAAACTTGTCTCCTCTCCAAATCATGGCGCCAAATCTGGTCAACTCGCCCCAAACTCGCTTTCCGACAAACATCCCGCGACAGAGCCACCGACAAAGCGAAACACGTGTTCCTCACACGTGTGGACAACGCTCTACAAGCACACCTCGACCACAATCTTCACCTAGAGAAACTCCGCCTCGTGATCACACTGCTCGACTCCAATTCAATCTCCCTCCTCGAAAAGTGGATCCCGTTGCTCGACGCCATCGGCGTACGCGAGCTGTACCTCTCGATCCACTCGGAACGCAAAAAAGTTCGTTACGTTCGTCTCCCTCCGGTAGTGCTTACGCATGTCGGGTCTCTCAAGCTTTTGTCTCTACATAAATGCAAGTTGTCGGATCAAGAGTGTTTGTCGAATATACCGTTGATTAACTACACCTCTCTCGAAGTAATCCGCCTGAACGGCGTCTCGGTTCAGAAGGAGATCTTCGACCGGATAATATTGAGCTGCCCGAAAATTCGAACTATCTGGTTGAAAGATTGTAAAGGGTTGAAAAAGATTAAGTTGGTGAAGGAGAATCACAAGTATCTCGAGCACTTCACTTTTACTAGCAACGTGCTCTACGCGTTGGAGCAGTTCACTATCGAGATTGACGATCTCGAGAATCTCGAGACGATTAGCGTTCTTGCGAGGATGACTCGGTTCCGCGGCAATAAATACGATAATCTCAAGTCTCTGTCGCTGAAGTTTGTTAGCATCTTGTTCGACAACCCGTCGCTGAAATTTCCGAGCCTTGAATCTTTGAGTCTTAAAAATAGTTACGGTTTCGCACGAATCCATCTGGAAATCGATGCCCCAAAGATACGTTTTTTTTACTACAGAGGAGATTTTATCCCATCGATCTCGTTTACAGAAACTTACGGGCATTGGAAGTCGAAAATATACATTGTCGGTGGTTTTGACGATGCTCTGTGGTTGGTCAAGCTAAGTCAACTGCTCGAGGCAATAAGTCGGTCCGAAATCTGCCTCGACATTTTCCCAAATCCCAGGAATATTATCAATTTTCAAGAAAATTTTACCGTGCAAGAAAGTAAACGCGTTGGTGTGACGCTATTGCAATTAAATGATCGTTTATCTGCGTTTCTATCTTTAGTAAATTGTTTGTTTGGCATTTGTTGTCCGAGGGACATAGCTATGGAATGGCACACCAAAGGAAATATCGAGCTCGAAAGGGAACAAAAGGAATTCACCGAGTTTTTGCGCAAGATTCTTATGAAGAGGGGAAGTAGTGGAAATCAAGAAATGAACCAAAATTTGGCGGATGTGATATCGATCGGAAGTTTTGATACGAGTCGTAGTGAATGGCAATCTATAAAGGTGCCGAATTTGCTAGAATGCTCGTTGCCTGACGATATATTCCATCACCGTGTCTGCTTCCGATATATTCCACCACCACCACCACCACCACCACCATCTCCACCACCACCACCACCACCACCGTTGAAAAACGGACTTCTTAAAGTTTAG